CAGCCGCCGCGGTCCAGCCCGGCGCGTCCCTCGTTAGTTGGTAAACTTGGGTCTCGGTCTCTGGACGCTGTTGGGTTCCAGATCTCGCGGTGTAAACCAGCGCCGGCCTCCCCTGGGTTTTAAATCGGTCTGTCGTTGTTTTATCGGTGCCTGCATTTCGCTATTTCTCATCGTACACGTGTGATTCATCACAAAGTCCCCCTAAAATCTTGGTGCTCCCAGGTTTCCCTGACTTCTCCTTTTGTTGTGTTCCGAGGTGAAGCACGTTACTGTTTCAGACTGCACCGTGTGCCTCTTGTCGTCCGGCTTGCTCTTTTCTTGAGGCTTTTCCCGTGTGGTTTTCCTGAGAACACACCTGTGTGCGAGGTGCAAGCGTGCAGTAGATCTGTGGTGCTCCGCAACTTTTCCTTAGCTTGTCCTGTGTGTTTTTCCTCCAAAATCCTGTTTGTTTTTCTGATCGCCACAGCAAGCACAGAGCTGAGATGTGGAGCTGGTCTGAGGCAGGGACTGGCCGTTCCACCTTCCCGTTTCGAGTGGGGCCTTCCAGGTTCCAGCCTGGGGGGGCTGCAGGGGGGAGCAGGGGAAGGTCATCCACCAGAACAGCACAGCCTTACTGTGGAGGGGAAAGCAACAGCTGGGAGCACGGCATGTCAGAAATGAACTTCAGCTGTTGCAGTCTGGTGTTTTGCTTTGAGACCAAAATAACAGTCCAGAGGCTAAATGAACTCAGATACCGAACCACTTTTAATCATAAATATGCGTGGGTTTTGCGAATTACGTGAACGTCCCTGTTTGGTGGGAGTGAGATCATGGTTCAGGAGGAAAGTGGATCCAGGCAGTGTCGTGGTTCCGTAACACAGCCTCCCTGTTCTCCAAGAGAAGGGACCCGCTCCAAGGGAGAAGCTGTGTGGATCACTGAGGTGCTTTGTGTCATCCTGTCACAGGACTGTGGGGTCCTCCAGGGTCTCTCTCTTACTCCTGAAGGCTTTCCTCCTGTCACTTCTCATGGGTGGGAAAGGGTGAGTTTTACAGGGCTTCCTGCTGTACCCTTCTTTATACTTGTCGCTCTTATCCTCTGCAGAGCTGTAGGGAAGACCTGCTTGCTCATCAGTTACACCACAAATGCCTTTCCTGGAGAATACATCCCCACTGTGTGAGTAATGGCCTTGGGATTTTTAGTGTATTTGCCTGTGTCTCTAGAAGATGGTTTTGTCCCAAAGGAGAAGGCTGTCCCAAATCAGACCGGATCAGGAGGATGCCAGTGGCGTGACTGTGTCTGCGAGTCTGTCCGTGCTGGAACTGTGTTGTGGTGTCCTCTCCCCATTCATTTATACAAAATCCCCTTGGATTTCGTATAAAGAGACGTGGCGTTCACAAGAAGATCGTCACTGATGGGGACTCTTCCTTGGCAGGTTTGATAACTATTCTGCCAATGTCATGGTAGATGGAAAGCCAGTGAACCTCGGCCTCTGGGATACAGCAGGGCAAGAGGATTATGACCGACTGCGGCCTCTTTCCTATCCCCAGACGGTGAGTGCTGGGCTTGAGCTGGCCTGTAACCGCTCCCACTTGGGCACAAGGAGGCTCCCAAGGGCAAGAAAAGTCCAAGTTCCTGCAGCTGTAACCATAATTCTGGCTGTTCAAGAATTATCACGGCTGACTTTCTCCTAAGAGACTGTCCTGTTGTAGTCCTTGCTTCGGGATGGTGTTTGGACGGTTCTGTGTGCCAGAGGGAGGCTCAAGTGAAAGGAGCCGTGTTGGTGTTGGGCTGCACTGGTGTTTCCCCGGCTGCAGCAGTTCCTACAGGGCCCCCTGCCTGGGGGGAAGCCCGTAGCACTGTTGAGGTATTTGTGCCACACGCTCAACACGCAGAGCTCAGAACTGTGAAAGGAGATGAAATTATAAAGTCGGGTCCTTTCCTCTGAACTCGTTTAGCACCCTCAACAGGGGAGAATGTCTTACAGCCACAGTCCTTGCTTGTGGGAGGAGATTGTCCTCTGCAAGGCTCCCTCTCCATCCTCCCTCCGTCATCTCTGGCTGTTTCTTTCTACACAGTTGACCCTCTTGTTTCTGTACAGGATGTTTTCTTGATCTGCTTCTCCCTTGTGAGTCCAGCCTCCTTTGAGAATGTCAGAGCCAAGGTAAAGTATTCTTTTGGGTTCAACAGTGGAAGGGAGGAACCGGTGAAGTCCCGTGCCCCACCCAGCACAACACCTGCAAGCCAGAAATTTCTAGCAGTCACATTTTGATAAGGGAAGATCATAGTCTCCAGGTTTTAAGAGGGGCCTGCTTCTTTATCTGTGACTTTTTTTTCGCTAAGTTTTTGCCTCTTTGAACCTGCATCTGAAAGAAGATAAAGGATGTCCCAGAAACTAAATTACAGTGAAAGTAAGCACGGTGCACAGAGTTGGCCGGCCCTGCCTGTCACGACTCCATTCTCAGTGCCTTTGTTATTATATCTGTACCAGTCGCTTTCTGCTGAACTGCAGGCGCAGGTATCCTGTTCAGCTGCTGTCACCATGGCAGATAGTAGTAGAAACCTTGTTCCTAATAGTAAATACGTTCTCATGGTTGCATCTGCTGCTATAGCTACTCTCCTTACCATGCCTTTCTGTTTCAGTGGTACCCTGAGGTCCGACACCATTGCCCAAATACACCGATCATCCTGGTGGGCACCAAGCTGGACTTGAGGGATGATAAGGACACCATTGAAAGGTTACGTGACAAGAAACTGGCCCCCATCACCTACCCCCAAGGTTTGGCCATGGCTCGGGAGATCGGTGAGTCTCGCATGCTGGCAGCTCTCTGCGGCATCGAGCTTTTTAATTTTGGGTGAGGGACAGCGTGTCCTGGCAGGAACGGAGTGGTGTAGCTGGAGCTCTCTTTCCCCTAGGGTCGGTAAAGTACCTCGAGTGTTCCGCCCTGACACAGCGGGGCTTGAAGACGGTGTTTGATGAAGCCATCCGGGCTGTGCTCTGCCCACCACCCGTGAAGAAACCTGGCAAAAAGTGCACCGTGTTTTGAGGGCTGTGGCCTGGGTGCTGGCTCAGCATGTTGTTGTCCTCTGACAGATTGCGTATTAGCTGGGTGTTTCTGGAGGGGGCTGGGACGTGTAGGGCCCTTCATCATGTACGAAGTCAGTGTTTTTTAAATGTCTCTTTGATTTAACGTCAGTGTTGATGTGAAGGGGCAGTGGGGGCAGGAGACAAGCTGGGGGCCATACAGCCCCCAGGGGAGGTACAGTGGGGAAGGCAAGGTAGCTCCTTGGGGCAACAGGCTGTTTTGGCTCTCCTGAACTCCAAGCTGAAAGGGCTGAGACATCCATCCTGTCCTGGAAACACCTGGTTCCAACCTGCAGGTGAAGCAGGTGGGGAAGATCCTTGTGGGAGCAGGGAGGGAGCTGATGTGAACGGTGCTGAACGACAGCAGCTGGGAGAGCGGTACGGTCGCCTTGCCCAGCCTGCTGTGGCTAACAGTTAACAAACTGGTGCTCTAGCAGATACGTGTCTGAGACTGTTAAACCATAACCGGCCCCGGAAGGGGCTGAAGTAAATGAGATACAAAGCTGAAAAACTAATCATTAGGTGCTTTATTGGGTACTAGCCAAACTCAGCGGGTGCAACAGCTCTGCGCAATCAATGTATTTGCCTTTTCATGTGTGCACACCCTAGGACAGTGTGGTGCTGCTCCCCCCATCAGTCTTTAGCAGGGCCTCCTCCCCCCAAAATCCAGTCTCTGCAGAGCAGGGCTGTGGTTGTTGCCTCTGTTTTGTTTTTTTCTACTAAAGACAGCAAAGGAAGCAATGAGGAGTCTGCTAACTTCTTCTTTCCCTTCCCACTGAAAGTGCAGATGGGCTCTATGTATTTGGATGGAACAGGGAGAGCTTCTGAAGGGTTGGGGGGGGATAGGGTTGGAAGAAAGACAGGTCCAATTTCTAATCATCTTGTAGAGTGACAAGATCAAACCTTATTTGGTGCAATAAACATTCTCCATGATGGCGTATGTGAGCTTTATTATATAGCAGTGCTCTAAAGGTAATTTTCTGCCTCACTTCTTGTACAGATTCCAGCCCTGAGACCCCTTTTCTCCAGCAAGATGGGGTCTGTACCATTGTTTTCTATCCAGTTTACAGCTCTGCAGCACTAGTATGAAAATTAAGGCCAGATGTGAAATGCAGGTGTCATCATCTTAGGAGACAAGAAATCCCCCATCAACCATCAGCGAGCTGCCGGTTGTCATAGCACTCTTATCGCTCAGGAGGAAGAGAATGCTGTTCACCACATCATCCACCTCTGCAATCAAACACAGAGAACATCCGATGCACCCCTCAAAAGCTACCAGAAAAACAAGCACCCCAGAAGGTATGCCTTTGGCCTCTACATGTAACTGGAGCAGGGAAACATCTCTGCCTCCAGTCTGTGCTTGATGCAGCACACAGGACAGCGTGGCTGAGAGCTTGACATCAGAAAGTCCTCGCTGTGGTCAAATGATGCTTAGCTCACGTTCACAGCAAGCACCTTCTCTCCTTCCCAGCCCTATTTATGAACAATGGAGTCAGCGCATTCCATGTGTCCTAAGATGAGAAGGCTGTAGAAGAGGGGAGAGAACGTTGATTCTCCTCCTGTCCTTCTCCAACGTTTCAGGAGCTGGACCTGAGCCCTTCAGCAGGGTTGTGCCTTTGCCCACAAAAGCTGCAAGGTACTGGGATGTCAGCTAGAAGGAAGGCCTGGATGCAAGAGAAGAGCCCAGCCTGGCAGCAAACTGACCTGCAAACTTCCCCAGCGGAATCCGATTAATCATAGCAGCAGATTTCTGAGGGTCACTCCAGTTAATTCTCCCCATGTCGGTCATAACCACGGTGGGGTTCACAGTGTTCACCCTAATCTGGGACCAAGAGCAACAAATGATGTAGCAAGACTGCTCCGAGAGGAAATGGTGAGGTTCAACTTTCACACTTTTCCTTCTCAGGAAGAATCCTACCTTGTGGGGTCCCAGCTCCATTGCCATTACCTTGCTCAGCATATCCAAAGCACTTTTTGTGGAACCTTCAAGAGAGGGGAAGAACAGGAGACATTTAAGTGCACAGCCCATGGTCTGGAACACAGAAGAAGCATTTCAGTGCCCAGAGCTGGCGGCCAGCAGCTTCGGTGGCTGTGGGTCTCCTGCTCGTCACTGACGAGGGGCACTGCCAGAGCCACACATACTTACAGTAAACAGCGTGATCCCGCAGAGCCCGTTGGGAGGCCTGGCTGGAGACATTCACAATAGCCCCTGGCACCCCCTGCGTGATCATCTGCCGAGCCACAATCTGGAAGGGGAGGAGATAAAAAAACAACAAACAAAGAGAAAAGGGATGCCAGAACCCTAACAGGAGACATCGTTACTTCATTCAGTAGGAAACCTGCTGGGCTATTACAGCAGCCAAAAGAGCAAAAACGTGGAGGAAGTCCGTCTGGCCTCTGAAGACAGAGAGTCAAAGCGAGAGAGTGAAGGCGCCATATGTGCAGATTGTGAGGTTAACTTTGGATTTAGAGTCCCTGTAGCCCCCACAGTGTAACTTATCTCCACTGTGTACAACAACTGAGTCGCTGTTGTTCGTAGAGACAACTGCAGTGACAATTCTTCCTCACCTGGGAAACGTGAAGCACAGCCTGAAGATTCACATCAAGAGACCTACAAATAAAATTTAAAAATTAGAGTGGTTGCAGCCTGGGCCAGAGAGAAGTTGCTTTGGGAGGCAGCAGAGGACAAGTGTTGCTGGTATCTTCAAAACACTGGCAAGGCTCTAGAACACAGACAGAAGTGCCAATGAACTGTTCACTGCACGTGAGCTCTTCAGTGTGTGGGGGGCAAGGTGCATCGTGCATCATCGTGCTCCCAGTAGCACTCTGTTCTTCAGCAGACTGAGGTAGTTCCTCTATTACTGATTAAACAGTGAGTCCTGGGCCTCAGCCAGTGACTCTTCGTGGGTCAATAACACCCCTCACGTGGCTTTAAAATAGCAAGTCTGCTATGAGATGAGTGTGAGCAGCTTTTCTTCCATTTACCACATAGTCATTCCTTGGTCAGGCTTTTTTTTCCTGCTAGTTCTGCAAAACGGTCTTAAGTGGAATCCATACATTTAATGGTCTAGTCACAACTGAACATCCACGCTAAAGAGACAAAACATGATTCAGGAAGCAGGCTCACCATGGCCTGTATCCTGAATCTCACCCCCAGCTGGAACTACAGGTCTTGTGAGAAAGATGTCCTGTTACTGCAGTAAGCAAACGTAATTTCCTGCCGTGACAGTTTTCTGCTCCCTTACCTGGCTTTGTCTTCTGGCTGAACTGTCTTAACAACAACTGCCTTTTGATTTAGCAGAGACTAAGTCGGAGCTCAGCCGGGAAGCTCTGAGCTGGATGAACACCGAAAGGCACTCTTCTTGCCCGTGTGGGCTGGGTGGCATGTGCACGCCACCACTTGCCACGAAACTGCAGGTTCTGGCTCCTGAGCAGCAGCGTGGCATAGCACCAGCGCTTTACTCGGCTTCTTTTTGATGTGTACAGGGTGAAAGGTGATTACGCAAAGT